TGCATAAAGCTAAATGTTATATGGCCTCAGATTTACGCTGTACCATTAAGCAAATTAATTTATATCAATATGATGTAAAATCAATCCATCCTACATTTATACATCCCAGTAAATTATTATAATGTAATAATTTGCATTATTATCAAATCGAGAACTTACAGTTTTTTTTCGCAACTGACATGCTAAGTTTGCTCAAAATTGCATTATAAGTCATTATTGAGTTATTGATTTCACTTTGTTTCTTTTCCTTTATCTTTGAAAATACTAATGTTTATTCGTATATTTCTTTTGTATGTCAAACTATGGGAAGCAAATATGGATACCTCACAATATTAATTGTAAAAATATTTGTTTAGTTGATTCATGTACGACACATACAATATTCAAAGAGAAGAAATATTTCTCTCATTTAAGTATGTGTAAGGCAGATGTTACTACAATTTCTGGTAGTAGTAAATTAACTGAAGGCTCTGGAAGAGCTACTATAACTCGGCCTAAGGGAACAATACTTATTATAGAGAATGCAATGTTCTCCTCCAAGTCCAAGAGGAACTTGTTGAGTTTTAAAGATATCTGTCGAAATGGATATCATATTGAGACAATAGATGAGAATAATCTTGAATATCTCATCATTACCAAGAATGTCTCTGGCCAAAAGAGGGTTATTGAGAAGTTCCCATCTTTATCTTGTGGCCTGTATTGGACAAGAATTAGTGCAATTGAGGCACATTCTACCGTAAACCAAAAGGTTACTGATTCCAATACTTTTGTACTTTGGCATGATCGATTGGGACACCCTGGATCAATTATGATGAGACGAATTATAGAAAACTCAAATGGGCATTCATTAAAGAATTTAAAGATTCTTTTAAATAATGAATTTTCTTGCAATTCTTGTTATCGAGGCAAGTTAATTATTAGACCATCACCAACAAAGGTTGGAATTGAGTCCCCTGCGTTTTTGGAACGTATACAAGGGGATATTTGTGGACCTATTCACCCACCTAGTGGGTCGTTTAGATATTTCATGGTCTTAATAGATGCATCTTCTAGATGGTCTCATGTGTGCCTACTGTCATCACGCAACCTCGCGTTTGCAAAATTAATGGCACAAATAATTCGATTACGGGCGCAATTCCCCGATAATCCAATTAAGTCTATTAGACTTGATAATGCTGCTGAGTTTTCATCCCAAGCATTTAATGATTATTGCTTATCCATTGGGATAAAAGTGGAACATCCTGTAGCTCATGTTCACACTCAAAATGGCCTTGCAAAGTCTTTAATTAAACGTCTGCAATTGATAGCAAGACCGTTACTCATGAAAACGAGGTTACCCACTTCTGTCTGGGGTCACGCCATTTTGCATGCAGCAATGCTAGTTCGTCTCAGACCAACAAATTATCATAAATATTCCCCGTTGCAATTAGTTTTGGGTCATGAACCTAATATATCCCATTTAAGAATTTTTGGATGCGCGGTATATGTGCCTGTAGCACCACCATATCGCACCAAAATGGGTTCGCAAAGAAGGTTAAGAATATATGTTGGTTTTGAATCGCCCTCCATTATTCGCTACCTCGAACATTGACGGGGGATTTGTTTACTGCACGATTTGTAGACTGTCGATTCGATGAGACACTCTTCCCAAAATTAGGGGGAGAAGTTGGTGAAACCAAACGGGAAATTTTGTGAAAAAATCCATCATTATCTCATCTTGATCCACCTGCCTCTATTTGTGAAAAAGAGGTGCAAAAGATTATCCATTTGCAGAGAATAGCAAATCAAATGCTAGACGCATTTACGGATTTGAAAAGGATAACAAAATCACATATCCCTACAGAGAATGTTCCAATCCGTATTGATGTCCCTATTGGACAATCTTCTAGTGTCATAGCTAATGAGTCAAAAGCACGCCTAAAACGTGGCAGACCATTAGGTTCCAAAAATCGAAATCCTAGAAAAAGGAAAACAAACGATCAAAATGACACTACGAAAGAATCTCATGAAGAAATCCACGATTTAATAAATTCTGAAATTCATGAGGAATCCACTGAGCTCGAGGCTCAAGAAAATAAGGAACTATCAATAAATCCAATCGATATTGAGACAAATTTGAATCGAATGGATATAGTGGTGGATTATGTCTTTGCATATAATGTTGCATCTAGCATTATGCAAGAAAGTGAGGATCTTGAACCTCAATCTGTTGGAGAATGTCGGAAAAGACTTGATTGGCCAAAATGGCAAGAAGCAATCCAATCAGAGTTGAATTCGCTTGCAAAACGTGAAGTTTTTGGGCCTGTAGTCCAAACACCTAATGGTGTTAAGCCTGTTGGCTATAAATGGGTCTTTGTACGCAAGAGAAATGAGAAAAACGAGGTACAAAGATATAAGGCACGCCTTGTTGCATAAGGATTTTCACAAAGGCCTGGTGTCGATTATGAAGAGACATTCACCCGTTATGGATGCTATAACTTTCCGTTATCTCATTAGTTTTGTTGTCCATGAAAAGCTCGACATGCATTTAATGGATGTGGTTACCGCCTACCTTTATGGCTCACTTGATAATGAGATATACATGAAAATTCCCAATGAATTTAAAATGCCAAATGCACATAATTCAAAGTCTCAGGAAATGTTTTCAATCAAATTGCAAAGATCTTTGTATGGTCTAAAGCAATCAGGACGAATGTGGTATAATCGTCTTAGTGAGTATTTATTAAAGGAAGGCTATATAAATGATGCCATTTGCCCATGTATTTTTATAAAGAAAACAACATCGGAATTTGTTGTACTTGCCGTATATGTTGATTACATAAACCTTATTGGAACTCCTATAGAACTCCAAAAGGCAATTGATTATTTAAAGAAGGAATTCGAGATGAAAGATCTCGGAAAGACAAAATTATGTCTTGGTTTGCAAACTGAACATTTGGCAAACGGAATTTTTGTTCATCAATCTACCTACATAGAAAAGGTATTGAAACGGTTTTACATGGATGGAGCACATCCATTAAGTACTCCGATGGTTGTTCGATCACTTGATGTGAACAAGGATCCATTCCGACCTCAAGAAAAGAATGAAGAGCTACTTGGTCCTGAAGTACCATATCTTAGTGCAATTGGTGCACTCATGTATCTTGCCAATACTACAAGGCCTGACATAACCTTTTCAGTTAATGTCTTAGCAAGATATAGCTCTGCTCCCACAAGGAGACATTGGAATGGGATCAAACACATATTGCGGTATCTAAAAGGGACTACCGATATGGGCTTATTTTATGGCAACAATTGCAGTCCCGATCTTGTTGGTTATGCTGATGCTGGGTATTTATCCGATCCACACAAGGCTCGATCTCAAACAGGTTATGTGTTTACCTGTGGAGGCACTGCCATATCTTGGCGATCGACTAAGCAATCAATTGTGGCTACTTCATCTAATCATGCTGAACATAATTGCTATTCATGAAGCAAGTCGAGAATGTGTGTGGTTGAGGTCTATAATACATCTTATTCGAGACAAATGTGGTTTGAAATGTGATAAGTTACCCACAATTTTGTATGAAGATAATGCAGCATGCATAGCTCAATTGAAGGGAGGATTCATAAAAGGAGATAGGACAAAGCACATTTCACCAAAGTTATTCTTCACACATGATCTTCAAAAGAATGGTGATATCAATGTGCAACAAATTCGTTCAAGTGATAATATGGATGATTTGTTCACTAAATCTCTACCGACGTCAACCTTCAAGAAGCTAGTGTACAAGATTGGGATGCGAAGGCTCAAGGATGTGAATTGATGTTCTCATCATGGGGAGTTAATGCGCGTTGCACTCTTTTTCCCTTACAAGGTTTTGTCCCATTGGATTTCCTTGCAAGGTTTTTAACGAGGCAACCAAAAGGCGTATTATTAGATATGTGTACTCTTTTTCCTTTTCTAGAATTCTTTTCCCCATTGGATTTTTATTTTAGTTAAGGTTTTAACAAGGCACATTATCTGTTGAATAGACATTCAAGGGGGAGTGTTATAAATAGAATTTTATTTATGGTGAATGTCTATTTAGAGAGATTTTAGGGTTTATTACTTGGTGGCTAAGTCACTTTTTCCCTATAAATAGAGGGTTCTATTACATTGTAATTCATCCCATATCAATAAGAATTCTCTCTCTATTTTTCTCTGCAATACTATTCTTCTTCTTTTATTATTTTATAACACTGTGGCTAATGTTAGTTCTTATCCTAAATATCCTCTATGTGGGAGACTCGTTGTCCTCAAACAAGAGCCACGCAACGATTGGCTTAAAGCCTTAAACATTAACATAGTTCAAGAGAAAATCCAAATATACTATCATGTGTGTATATCTACCTATAAACTAATCAAGATCAACGATAAGTTTAGATTAATCTTGATAAGGTCAGGCAAAATGATGAATCAATCAATCACCTTCATATCGTTTTCAATCTCGTTTTGCCACGAGTGGTTGAAAGTTAGGCCATTCTAGTACATATTCTGTTGACGTCGATAACAACTGGTCCTCAATTGTCGCTGAAAGGCCTGATTATTATTCGTAAATCTTGTTTCGGTGAACCTTGCAAAAGAGCTTATTTGGTTGGGGAGAGTAGGACTTCTGACTCCAAGCGCTATTGATGTAGCCTCAGTCTTCCTTTTATTCTCATAAATAAACATTTACCGTAAGAGGTTTTTGTGGTGACATGCTAAATTCGAAGAAAGTTTCCTAAATACTACTTTCAAAACTAGGATAAATACTTCAGTTTAATTCGATAGGAGATCCAATTAAAATCACTTTCTTACCAGCCAATTTTCACTTTAGTTTGCCACATCCTCTTTTTTCCTGCTCCTAATGCGATATGTTTTCATTATCTCTACTGAAACTGTAGCTTTAAAGGACAAATTAGTTGAGAGTTCAATTGGAAATGTGAAATGGAATCCCATTCAAGTATTTTGAGTGAGAGCGACTAGGCTACTTAGTATGTCCTATAAAGTTGCTTTTATTTATTTTTTAATTTTTTGCAGTCAAATTTAATGCATAAAACTTAATTCCAGTTATGTCAACATGGATTGGAAACTAGGACATACCTTAAGGCACGCTTATCAAACAGCAACTGAAAGAGAAAGGGGTTAAAGAGGATTTACATGGGTGGTGGATTAGTCCACCTTCTCTTCATTTCAGACTTCCATCGAACCTCCTTGAGTTTCCCATCCATTTCATAATCTCTTTCCATAACGAGATTCACGCCCTCGTCCGAATACCACCCGACTCCTATACAGAGGATGCCATCTTTGTTGACATCAACATAGCTCGTGACACCTCCTGGAAGCCAAAGAACAGTTACATCCTGCATGTCTAACATCTCTTCTTCTCCAAAGTATACTGGATTTTCTGGAAGGCTTCTCTTCTTCAGGTTTTCCGTGCATAGGTATACGTAGGGTACGTCGTCTGTTTCTTGAGTCACGTCCTCTTCACTGTATATAGGTGTTGCACTCATCTCAAACACCTTCCAGGATCCAGCCAGCTCTGATGGTTGGAGTCTTCGTCTTTGAGAGAAAAGCTTCACGTCCAGCTCCGTGTCACTATAATATTTATAGGCAAGGCATCAGAAAAATAATTAGAAATTTAATACTACGTTCATTTTATTTTATGTGAAGATGCTTGATTGACCGGAGTTTAAGAAAGAAAAGACTTTTGTAACTTGTGGTCTTAAACATTCTATAATATTTTTGTGGCTATATAATCATGTATTAAGGCTAAAATGAAAAGTTTAAGTTAAATCATTTCTAAATATAAAAAGGTGTCATTCTTTATGGAACAGAATAAACAAGAAAAAGCGTCACATAAAATGATACAGAAGGAATAGCATTCAACGCACACAACAGTGTGTCAAATGCAGGCTTTATCTTCACACAGTCATTAAATAAACTGCTCTTTTATACATTGTCAAGAGAGCAATAAGAAAATAAAGGGGTTGGACTCCTTACAAAAACTACGTTAATGGCAAGAGAATTTATATCAGAGAGAGAGAGAGAGAGAGGAAAAAAAAAAGAACTCTTGCTCTGCATCAGGGAAAATGTGACACTAAAGTGGTAGTACTCCCAAGAAAACCATCTCTTGGCGATAACCGCGGGTTGTCAATACTAAAGCTTCCTAAGATGTATTAACCAATATGTGCGCACATCTCCAATATGAAGTTATACAGACACAAATGTCTTCACTTCACAGTTGAAAGGTAACACAGGAAGGAAGCTATATGAAGAATAAGTTTAACCAGACCTACAAGGAGATGAGTAGGTCTCCTAACAAGTATAGCCTGATTTCAATAGATTACCACAAATATCGCTTATCACAACCTTTTGCAGAGAACAACTACCAATAAACTGTTCTTATCATAAGATTGCCAAACAAGAACATCAAGTTGATTTTATCCCTTCCCTCAACTTCACTACCATACTCACAATAATATTCAGTGAACCAGGCCAACTCGTCAACTACCGATTAGACCATCATTACCATTTCTGAATTAATTTCATCACAGGGGTCATGATCACAAGCCTAATCATTCCATTACTAGATTGCAACTCAATAAACCAGTGCTCCTCTCACATCAAATAGAAAATGATCTAATGACAAAAATATGAAAATGAAAATACAACCTCCAAATATTTTAGTAGAACAAGCTATCAGCTCATTGCTACTGCCAATTTTTTTTCTTTTACACTAGTAGTGCTACTGCCAGTGTTGTCACTCTCACCAACAGAAACACAATTAGAGAATCTTTTTTACTCCTACTAGAAAACTTATATTCTCAGAATTAAATAGCTTTCCTGTACCACTACCTACTACTCCATCCTTTTCAATTTATGTAATGTAGTTTGACTCGGCATGGAGTTTAAGGAAAAAAAATACGATTTTTGAAACTTGTGGTCTTAGAAGCTTAAAGGGTGAAAATTTTTGTGTGGCTATCAATTTGTATGGCTATAAAAGGATCTCATTAGAAGCGCAGTCTTGGAGCGACAGTAAAATTGTCTCAGTGTGACCTATAGCCAAGGGTTCGATCCACTGATGCTTGTTAGGGTAGGCTGCCTATATTACACCTCTTTGGGGTTGAGCCCTTCCCCGGATCCTCCATGAAGGACCGATGCTATGCACCGGGCTGCCCTTTTTATAAAAGGATCTTATTAAGGGTAAAATTAAAATTGTATAAGTTAATGTTTTCAAATATAGAAATGTGTCATTCTTTTTAATACGGATAAATAAGGAAAGTCTGCGTACACACTACCCTCCCCAGACCCCACTATGTGGGATTACGCTGGGTATATTGTTGTTGTTTTACAAAATAAAGAAAGTATGTCATATAAATTGAACGGAAGGAGGAATAAGCAATAAACAAGCTCTTCATATATTGCTGAAGTCTGCTAAGGAGACAAGAGAAAATAATTCCGGGTTAGTCTAGAGCATGTCATGTTCTGTAACTCTTGTTTTTTGCAGCTATTCGTTTTAATGCTTATTATTCCGAAATAGAGGGATAGTTGCCCTCTATATTATAAGCCATAAAATATATACATAAGAGAATAAATCTAACCCACGTCCAGAAATATAAAATAGGATTCAGCAGAATTTGACAGATCGACATGGCTGAATTATAACCTATATAATCAAATACAAGATACAGATACCTCTCGTCAGATAGATTAGCAGGACTAATCCACTGTTCTTCATATACAGCAACCCTCAATATTTGGATGTCCGAACCCCCATTACTGAACTCTATTGTATGCACTATGCGGAGTCTCTTGTGACAACCTTTGACAAGACACTGTATGAGGAAATAAAGGAGACAAAGTAACTTTCCGTTCCTAGAGACATATAAACCAAAAGAAAAAATAGTACACTAGGACAAAGACATTAATGGAAACTGATAAAGTAGGAGATTTTGTACATTTTAACGCTTAAGAAGGGAATCTGGTATATAGGAATGCTTTTAATATCTCCCTCAAAATCAAAATTACAAACAGAACATGAAGCACCAACAGAACATGAAGCACCAAGGCTTATACTTCGGTGGTGCTAATAAGAGTCTTTCACACAAAATGTGTGGGTTCAATTTCCACTGTCCCCTTCCCCTTCCCCTTCCCCTTCCTCTTCCCCTTCTCCTATGTAACAGAAAAAACTTCAAAAGAATTTATTTAAAAAGAATTAACAAAAAAACACAGAACATGAAGTTAGATAGGCAATGGTGCTAGTGTTGCTTACAATTTTGAATTAAGGGCACCAAGGAACTCATCACTCATCCTAAAGGCGGGTTATGACAATACCATTTGGTTAAAGCGCTGTTTAGGTTGCGCTGACGTCAAGAATGCAGATTAAAAGCATCTCCCTCAATCCCATCTCCCCACAAAAAGAATGAGAGAGAGAGCATGAAGTTTAGACAGCCAATGGTAGTAATAGATCTTCCATGAGTTAATTAAAATCAAACAGCACTTCTGAAAATGAGCCCATTCATCAAATCAGAGAAGCAGCTAAAGAGTTCAGTTGAAGTTTATAGAGAGTGTGGTTTTAAGAGCTAGTTACGTTACCTAGATTGAACTTCAAGAGAGCATATTGCAAGCAACTAATTGGTTACTGCATAACAGTGATGCAAAAAGAAAATCTTTCTTTGGAAAGCCACTACTTGTCAACAAGTACATGGACCCTGCTAAACGTTGTCAAAGGTGAAGAGTATACGAAAATACCAAGGTTTCTTTAATCGCAAAGCACATAGAGCGTGGTTTTCAATAAAGAAAGACGATAATGAAAAAAAATAAAAAATATGTATGTGATGCAGGAAGAAAATAATGATAAAAATAATTATCTGGAGAATGAATTGAATAATCACAGTTATGTGAAATATAAAAAATTAAAATAATTTAAAAATCGAAATCTTTTAAAAATTTCTAATTGGGACGCAAATAAACATGTTTAATTTTTTACTTCAGACTTCTTCACTAGTTTTCTTATACAAAATTTTGTTCCTATTCTTTATCGCCAGATATTCATCCACGACATACTTTTTAACAATCTTTGCATCACTTTTCCAACTATTTTTATTTTTCCTTTCTCTTTAAGACAAAGCACATAGGTGATGAGACGCACAACTTTTAGGTCTTAATGCTTGCTTTAAAACGCCAACTGAACGAGACGAAGCGCCTAACTTGGGTTTTACATAACTTCGGCACTTAAACACACCTTACATGAGCCTTGACAAAATTGTTTGACACTCTATACCTAAATAAAAAACCATCTCTGAAACCCAGGTCCTTGTTCCCGGAACTAGATAATATGGACATGATCCAGAACTGAAAAGACAACATTCAATGAAGTTTTCTTGAAAATTTGATAACTCTATTTTTCCATTTTTTCATAGTCTGTGTTTGAGTTCTTTTGGAAAAGGTTAACTTTTTTAAAATTTCCAACCGGCTTTTTAAATCGTCAGTTTTTGAGATATATGAAAAACTGAGTTTCAAAACCTGGCAAAAGAAAATAATCAAAGTTTTTGGTAGAAACAGCTCAAACAAACACTTCTTCAAGAAAGTTAAAAAAAAACTGAGTATGAAGCTCATATGTTCAATTTTTTCCAACCAAACACCACTTTATGATTATTGAGGTGATTGGAGAAAACCTGCATAGAAGGTATAATAGATAGAGAATTTGACAATGTTTAGTTACAAATGCAATTGGACGTCTTTCATATAAAACTCTAGATGTTTATTTTGCAAATGTAAATCAATGGCATTTCCAATTATTATTCAAGATTGATAATGAGCATCTAAAGGGGATTCTTTCATTCACCATCATAGAGAATTACAGATCATCCTTCACAAAGAAAAAATATACCTTTTCTAGTAACGAATAGGAATTACATGCTTGGCAAGACAAAATTGTGCCTCCATGTCCATTTAAGTAAAGAAATAAAATGTAAATATTAGTTCATCAATATAGCATATCCATCATTTGGCAATATTTTCTAGATGAACTAAAAATACTTTCTGATTCCTTTTCTTTTCTACATGTTGTGTTACTAGGTACCATAGTCCTAAGAGCATATGCTATATGAAGTTAACCAAGATGACATGTGGTACTCACTTGCTCAAACTTAAAAGTTGGCGAAATGTAATACTTAGACTCATCAAGTTCACCAACTGGAATATCAACTGGACCTCTTGAGTAAGAGCCGTCCTGCAAATAGATAAAAGCTTTTATTGAACTCTCCTTACTGAAGAACTAGTACGGAATTGACCAAAAGCACAAGATTCCATAATCACCTTCAATGGCATCACAATAAACAACACATTAGACAACTAATGTCATAAGCAAAAGGGTAGTTTTACCTCAAAGAAAACAAGACCAGGTTCCATTCCCATAATATCTTCCTCCATAATATCACTCTTCTCAAAGTCAAAAGATTCAAATTTTGGCAGTTTTTGATGTTTTGATTTTCTATCAGGTGTTTCATGCATATGGAAAGACAGATCTGCACCTGTGCGCTTCTCTATGCTTCTGTCATCACCTCCATTAGGTTCTGGGACTTCACCATGGGGATTCAGTGTTACCCAATTCACTTTCCTACGGATTTGAGATTTTTGACTGGCAGAAGATGATGGCAGTACCTCAACACGAGAAGAGGTATAGCAGTCAAAGAGGTGTTCATTCTTGTTGCCGACCTCAATAGGTTCCATTTCTGCCGTTATGGGAGAAAATACAGCTCCGACTCCCTTCCATATCCCACTGAGACTACTAGCAAATGTATTCCATGCAGGTCGGATAACAGGTTCCTGAGATGAAAATGTATATCAATGAAATTGGGAAGAGAACATGAAACAAGAGATAAGTTTAACAGACATAATTTTGATTGTTGTTTCATGAATTCATCCACATGAATATCAGTTTGGGCCAACCTATGTTGCTCGGACTCTCCGCAAATGTCAATATTGCATGTCGGACTCTCCAAAAGTAGTGCAATTTTGGAGGATCCAACACAGATGCGGCGGCATTTCGGAGAGACTCGCAACATAGGAGCCAATTGGAAGTAGATGTGAAGTATCCTTTCCAGGCAAAATGAAAACTCCAAGTAATAAGTTTGATATCAAAACGTTCAGTTCCTCATTTCAAGCTATGCTCAACCTTTCTAAACTTCAAGATACTCCTCAAACAATTTGGTAACCTACCAGTCATTAAACTTGAAAGGCTTGAAGTATCAAGTTTACAGAAACAAGCACAGGAGCTGCATCTTAATATTTAGAAGTTCTATACTATGGTCTTTCAGCATAATTTTGGAAGGTTGACTGTACGATTATAGTTCAATCAAAACTTTATCACTATAAATTGTCCAACCAAACAGAAGAAAAAAAAAAAATATATATATATATATATATAAAATAACTCTATGAGTGAGGTTGCTCACATTGCTGATCTCAAGCCTAGAAAAAGGAAGAGGATTGTGATAGGTTGACAGCCAGCGTAAACTAGCCAATTTATAATAAATCCTCTCAATACAAAATACATCAGGACATGCTCATCTGAGCATGCATTTCACTAAGCACAGGTGTGGTGAAAAATGGAAAAGAGTTCAATCAAATTGTCGCCTCAACATGAGAAGCATAAGCAAGGGTTCCTACAAATGTCATAAAGGGTATTAATTAAGGAGGTGTCACTAGTGTGACGAGAATAGTGACAGAAAATACAAAGGAGTTGGAGGAGAGGGAAAAGAGAGGAAGGAAGAGGTGAACAGAATAGTGGTAGGGACTACAGTGAGCCCATACTTGTTTAGCCTAGTTATGAATGAGCTAACTAATAGTAGCTTTGGTCTCAGTCACTATATATGTGTCAAAACATTCACGACATAAGTACAAATAAGTGATTTGGAACCCATTAAATAAAATGAATTGTGTAGAATACCGAACTCGAAACCATAAAGTTCAAACTCTGTATACTCCTTAATAACGTACGTTCAGTTCGAATCCCGTTACAAAGCAATAAATAATCAACTATGCCTCAAATCCCGTATCATTCGGTTCGAGGATATGAATCTGTTGAAGTATAGAGTAGAGGACACTGCTATGGACTGTTAATAGCTTAGGTAGTTAAAATCAGTTAGTTAGGTAAGTTTGTTAGTAGGTGACAGTTGTCACCAGCTAAGTTAATAAAGGAGGTAGTGGAGGTTAGTGAGATGTAGATACTCGTGTATATATATATTTCAATGAAAGAGAATATATATACTCGTGTATATATATACTGGTGTACACATTTAGCATATACAATTCATTTCAATGAAAGAGAATATGAGTTGATGCTCTGCTGAAGTCTATCTTCCTCTTCTCCTTCTCATTTCTATCTTCTTAGTCAACTGAAGGTTCTAGAACTCAACATGGTATCAGAGCCTATGGAGACGTTCGATTCAAGCATATCACTCTAAGTGATTCTGGTTCTAGGCCTTCTTCTTGTACATGCTGCAATTGCTTCGATTCACCTCAATTTGTCGTTGAATCGTCGTTGAGCAATTAGGCATTTTTTTGTTCACTAGTCTGAGCTTTGGTTTCTGGTCATCAATGGCGGCCGGAGCTGATGGTACTAGTACAGGCACAGGAGTTGAGAATATCTCTGCTAATGCGAGTCAATTTCGATCCGGTACTTCAATTCAAGTAACAGATCCAACTCGTGTTGGTACTGCAGTCATAGATCAACATCATCCGTTATTCCTTCAACCTTAAGTATCAGGTAGCTCCTTAATCTCAATTAAACTAACTAGACATGAAAACTATGCTCTATGGAGTAGTTCTATGCGTGTTAGTTTGCTAGGAAAAAGTAAATTAGGTTTTGTAGATGGAAGGTATTCTACGGAGAAATTTGATGCCTCCCTTCATGAATTGTGGGAGAAGTGTAATGCCATAGTACTTTCATGGATAATGAACTCTGTAAGCACTGAATAGTTGAGTGGAATGGTATATGCCACAAGTGCTCCCAAAGTGTGGAGTGATCTCAGAGAAAGCTTTGAGAAGGTGAATGGCTCGAGAGTTCTGTACTTGCACAAGCAGATTGCCACCCTATCACAGGGTATTTCGTCAGTATCTTCTTATTTTGCAAAACTGAAGGAATTGTGGGCCGAGTTTGATGCACTTATGCCCTGCCCTGGGTGTGGCTGTGAAGAATCTAAAAGATATGTGCAGCACTTTGAATATCAGAGAATGCTGCAGTTCTTAATGGGACTGAACGAGTCATATGCACAGTCTAGTAATCAAATTCTGAATATGTCTCATATTCCTTCCATAAACAAAGCCTACTCTATGATAATCTCAGAAGAAAGTAGACCTCTGGCTAATCATACCACCAATGAATCTGAAGTTCATGAAGGAACTGCTCTGTTCACCAACAAAGGCCATCCAAATCAAACTCAATTCACTAACAAAACTGGTTCCTATCCTCTTGGTCCTCCGAATTCTAATCCAGTTTTATTCGGTAACAAGGGAATCCCATACTCTAACAATAACTTCAAACAGAGAAAAAACCAGCTATACTGTGACTACTGTAACTTCAAAGGTCACACTAGGGAGACATGCTATAGGCTCCATGGCTATACCTCAGATTTCAAGCCTAAGAAAAAATTCTCCTCAGCAAATTCAGTTTCATATGCCGGAGAAAAAAATCAGTTCTCTAACAATCCTACTGGAGGAACATATGGGACTCCAATCAACCTTGCAACAGCTTCTGGAAATCCATCAGTCTCCTCACAAGTGTCCAACTCTCCCAACAAGCTCGAGGAATTCCTCGAGTTTACACGGGAGCAATACAATCAGATCATGCAAATGCAGCGAAAAGGGAATGAGAACAGTGGTTCTGCTATGGCAGCATGTATGCCACATAGTGTAATTGTCCCTACAGATAAACCTAAGTGGATAATTGACACTGGAGCTTCAAATGATATGGTACATATACTTGACATGCTGTTTGACTTAAAAACCTTGGGAAACTCTCAAGAAGGAAAATTTTGTCTAACCACAGGAGATGTAGCCACAGTGAGACACACAAGTTCCACATATATATTTCCTGGTCACAAGATAACTAATGTGATGCACATTCCTGAGTTCAAATAAAATCTCTTATGTGTCTCAAAAATTACAAAGGAGTTAAGGTGTGTAGCTATGTTCTATCCTGACTTTTGCATCTTTCAGGATCTCTTCAATGGACAGGTGAAGGGGATTGGTAGAGAAGACAGTGGACTGTATGTACTCACCTCTGAAAGTGTAACAAAGCCAATTAGTGGTGCACCTGCTACAAGAAGTGCAAGCTCAAATCCAAGGTCTCTCATTGTAAATACCACAGAGAATAACAGAATAAATGTAGCCTTGTGACATAGGAGACTAGGTCATGTACCTTTGGTTGTACTGAAGAGAGTAAGTGTTTTTCAATCTATGCATATTGAGGATATGGAGAAGCATTGCACTGTTTGTCCTTTGGCTAAGCAAACAAAGCTACCATTTCCTGTAAGTATCTCAATTGCTCATTCCAATTTTGATATTATTCATGGTGATGTGTGGGGTCCCTATAGAGTCCCTACCTTCAAAAGCTAAGACAATTATTGTTCTCAGGAATTTCTTCTTAATGGTACAAAACATTTATTCTTCAACTGTTAAGGTTCTAAGGACAGATAATGCTTGTGAGTTCTTCAATACTCAGATGACAGATCTACTTCAATCACAAGGCATCATTCATCAAAGCTCATGTGTCTACACTCCACAGCAAAATGGAGTAGCTGAAAGAAGGCATAGACATATACTCAATGTAGCCAGAGCACTCAAATTTCAGGCCTCAGTTCCTCTCAGGTTCTGGGGAGAGTATGTTTCTACTGCAGTGTATGTTATAAACAGGTTGCCTGCTTCCACTCTCAAAGGCAGGACTCCTTATGAAATCCTGCATGGTTTGCATGGTTCTCCTGCCTCTCTTGCTCACTTGAAAGTATTTGGATGCTTAGATTATGTGTAAGAGGTGAGGTAAACACATAAATTTGCCCCTAAAGTTGTTCCAGCAGTCTTCCTTGGTTATTCAATGGTTCAAAAGGGCTACAAGATGTATACATTGGCTTCTAGGGAATTTATTGTGAGTAGAGATATGGTGTTTAAAGAGGATGTTTATCCCTCTAAACATACTGACCTGCCTATATCCTCTCTATTTCCTATCCTAGAATTCTCACCTCATAGTGTCTCTAACAACAGAGTGACAATACCTCTTCAGGATGATACTGTATCTGCTCCTGCTACCATCTCTGATGAGCTCAGCATTCTACGGATACCTTAACCTCAACTGAGAATCCAGATCTGGCTACTGATGCACACACCAATACTCTGCCCGCAGAACTGCCTGTTGACACCTCACCATCTATATTATCTTCTGAAGCACCTGAGTCTAGCAGAAAATCTCAAAGAGTATCTAAACAACCATTGTGGATGAAGGACTATGTGGTCCAGTCTCAAGGAAAATCTAACTGTTGCTATCCTCTATCCAACTACGTGAGCTACGCTAATATCTCTTCTGCCTACAGCTCTATTCTCTCTGCCTATTCAGCTATTATTGAGCCAAAGACTTACACAGAGGCAATTAAGAATCCCAAGTGAATTGCAGCTATGAAGTCTGAAATCACTGCCTTAGAAGAGAACAACACTTGGAGCATTGTTGATCTTCCTAAAGGCAAGGTTCCCATTGGGTGCAAATGGGTGTTCAAGGTTAAATATACAGCTTCAGGTGCAGTTGAGAGATACAAAGCCAGACTAGTGGCTAAAGATTATAGTCAGTAAGAAGGTTTGGACTATACAGAGACCTTCTCTCATGTGGCCAAGATGGTCACAGTCAGGTCTGTGATAGCAGTAGCTGCAGCTAGGCATTAGCAAATCTTTCAAATGGATGTGCACCATGCCTTCCTTCAAGCGTATTTGTTTGAAGAAGTGTACATGGAAATTCCACAGGGGTTCTCTAGTCAGGGAGGGCCTGGCAAAGTCTACACTCCACAAATCTTTGTATGGCCTCAAACCGGCAACAAGGCATTGGAACAAGAAGTTGACTGATGCTTTACTGCAGCTTGGCTTCACCTAGAGTCATTTTGACTACTCTCTCTTCACTAAGAAGGTGCAGACCAAGATGGTTCTTGTGTTAGTGTATGTAGATGATCTCTTGGTTTCAGGCACCTGTCCTCGATTGATCTTGCAAACAAGAAGTGATCTGCAACTCAAATTCAAGATGAAGGATCTTGGTGAGCTCAAATTCTTCTTGGGCATTGAGTTTGCTAGATCAAGGGAGGGAATTGTCATGAATCAAAGGAAGTATACTTTGGAATTGATTGCTGAGATGTGGCTCGGAGGAGCTAAACTTGCTGGTTCTCCTTTGGAACCTAATCAGAAACTTGCATCTGCTGATTATGATGCCTTCCTCAACAATCAATCCACAACAAAAACTCAGCGCACACATGCAGAAAATGATAACCTGCTGATTGATGCTAGCCAATATCAAAGGCTAATAGGAAGGCTTCTATATGTAACTATGACAAGGGTAGACATTGCTTTTGTTGTTCAAGTACTCAGTCAGTTTATGCATAAACCCAAGCAATCTCATTTGGAAGTTGCTCTAAGAGTGGTAAGGTACATCAAAAATGCACCTGGTATGGGCCTGCTGATGCCCTCTGAAGGATCTCGGAAACTTGAAGCCTTTTGTAACTCAGATTGGGGAGGCTGCTTGCAGTCGACGAAATCGGTTACAGGTTACTTAGTGAAGTTTGGAAGTGCCTTAGTCTCGTGGAAGTCAAAGAAGCATGACATTGTAGCAAGAAGCTTTGTAGAAGAAGAGTTCAGAAGCATGGCTTCAGCAGTAGTTGAATTAACCTGGCTGACAGGCCTATACAAGGAGCTAGGAGTCGAAATTTAACTGCCCATTGATCTACATTGTGACAATAAAGCTGCTATTCAGATTGCAGCCAATCCCATCTTTCATGATCATACCTAACATATTGATATAGATTGTCATTTTGTTAGGGAAAAAATTGTTCAAGGAGCAATGAAGACACAACATATTTCTACAAAAGAGCAGCAGGCTGACCTTCTCACTAAAAGCCTGGAAAGCCACAACATGACTATCTACTATCCAAGCTGGGGTTGAAGGATGCGTTTCAACCATCAGCTTGAGGGAGGGTGTTGAAGTATAGAGTGGAGGACACTGCTATGGACTATTAATAGCTTAGGTAGTTAAAATTAGTTAGTTAGGTAAGTTTGTTAGTAGGTGACAGCTGTCGCTAGCTAAGTTAATAAAGGAGGTAGTGGAGGTTAGTGAGATGTAGATACTCGTGTATATATATACTGATACTGTACACATTTAGCATATACAATTCATTTCAATGAAAGAGAATATGAGTTGATTCTCTGCAGAAGTTTATCTTCCTCTTCTCCTTCTCATTTTTATCTTCTTAGCCAACTGAAGGTTCTAGAACTCGACAGAATCCTCTTCATCCACTCAGCTCTATTCAAGTCATCACAAATTATGCTTAAACTTGCTGAAATCTTAAATTTATTCATAACATACTCAAATATCATCATTGAATCCAGATATATAGAGGTTACAAGTTACCTGAGTCTGCAAAACAGTTTCGACTTCCATTAGCATAGCACCAGAGACCATAACTCTATCACCTTTACTCTTCCTAGTAACATTTCTCATCCTTTTTCCACCTCTTTTCCTCCTACTCCTCGTCCTCGTCTTATCTCCTTCTCTCGCAATTTCGTTGTCAATGCTCCACACATTTTCCTTTCCCTTCGCTTTTACTCTCTCCTTACGATCGAATTTTCTACTGCAGGAAACGCAAGGATAGCGAGAATTTAGCTTGCGGATTGAAGGTGAAGTGGTGGAAGGGTAAGTGCAAAACCCTAGGAATTGGAATTGCTGTTGTTGAAGCTTAAAGAATTTGGAAGCGTCTAGAGATGGAGATTGCATGCTTGTGTTCCTCTAGAATGTGTGTGAAGCTATAAAATTAGAGATTTTGGTTATGGAGATTGATAGGGTTTTGGTATCAATTAGGTAGCAAATTTTATTAACTGAGAAATTTTGGTAATTCCATTTCAGAGCGTAGGATAAACAGTTGGAGCGCTACTGCCACTTACAGAACTTTTGGGGATTTAGATTTTGGAGGATGAGCTGACACGTCAGCACTGGATTAAATTGAGAAAACGCCTATTCTGAATACATATTAAGATTACATTTGGAGATGAATACGTGTCTCTTAACATGTATATTAAGATCTGAATACTAAATAATTAAAATTATTTATTTTTACCATTTGAATGTATATAATTTTTTTTTAAAATTAATAAACATAAAATATAAATAAAACACAAATTAATCTAATACTCTCTCTATATATATATGGATAGTTGGTGGTGGTGATGGCTAATGGAGGTGCTTGTGAATACCGACTAGAGCCGGTGGTTTTGGTTGATGATGGTAGTTTTGGATAGTAGCTATAGGTGATTGGCAGCGATAGATATTATGGTTGAGGATGGTGGGTGGTGGGTGGTGGTAGTAGTGATGGTTGTGATTGAGGAAGGTGATGGTGGGTGGCTGTAATTGTTGGCAGTGCCAGCTATGATTGTTGATAATGATTGGGTGGTTAGTTGTGGTAGTTGAGGTGGGTGAGTGTGTGATTGTGGCTTAGGATGATGGTAGTGTGGGTGGTGGGGTGGTTGTAGTGATGGCGGCTATGGTTGAGTATGGTGGTGGTGGTAGTTGATAATGGTAGACGGTGGCGCCAGTTAATAATGAATGTGGATGCTAGCATCTTAATGAAATTAAGTCTATGCTATAGATCTTAATCATACTAACTTATTCAGACTCATTAAGTGGATGTAAAGTAAAAAAACTGTGACGACCCAAAGGGTCATCACCGGATTTGTCTCTTTTTCCGTGCTTCCGAGGCCTTGAAAACCTCACATTTAGTTGCCTCGATTTGCGTGCGCAGTCCGAGCGCGTAGCCGTTAAGATTATATGTTAAATTCTGTGAAAAATTTCAAAATGTGGCTTTAAAATGATTAAAGTTGACTTCGGTCAACATTTTTGGTAAACGGACCCGGACCCGTGATTTGACGGTCCCGGAGGGTCCGTAGAAAAATATGGGACTCGGGCATATGCCCGGAGTCGAATTCCGAGGTCTAGAGCCCGAGAAAAGAATTTTTCTGTTTAATTGTTTTTCTGAAATTATTAAGAAAAATGGAAATGAAAATTGATTAAAAGACTATGGTATCGGGCTCGTATTTTGGTTCCGACGCCCGGTACAGGTCTTAAATAGGTGTTAAGCACTTTCTGTGAAGTTTGGTCGGAATCGGACGTCATTTGACGTATTTCGGACCTAATTATCTAAAGTTGGAAATTTATGAAGTTAGAAATGAAAATGATGATTTTGAGGCTTGATTCATTGATTTTGATGTTGTTTTGGCGATTTGATCGCTCGAGTAAGTTCGTAGGATGTTATTGAGTTAGTGTGTGTGATCGGTTAGGAGCCCCGAGGGCTCGGGAGTGAATCGGAGGTGGTTCGGGGTGTTTTCACACTTAGGAATTGTAGCAGATTTCTCTGAAATTTTTGCCTAGCTGATGCCTTCTTCGCGATCGCGAACTCGACCCCGCGTTCGCATAGCTTTGGACTCTCCCATCTTCGCATTCGCGGAAAGGCCCCTGCGTTCGCGTACTTACAGCCCTTCCTCAACCGCGTTCGCGTCCCCTTTTTACGCGTTCGCGTAAGGCAATCCCAGGGCCCCCACCAGCTTCCTCTTCGCGTTCGCATCACACCCATCGCGAACGCGATGCCCCCAGTTCTCTTCACCGTGAACGCGTCCTCTTAGTCGCGATCGCGTAGGGTAAAAACGCCCAGTTATATTTTTAATTTCCAGAATCAGAACACACGGGATTTTTTCACTTTTCTCACGAGCTCTCTTCTCCCCCAAGCTTTAGGAAGCCATTAAAGCCCCCACTCTTCAAGACCACTTGGGTAAGTAATTCCCCACTCATTTCCTTCACTTTTCCTTCATTAAGTAGCAAGTTTCTAAGCCTGAATCATAAAATCAAAGTAGAAATTAAGGGTTTTGGGTAGAGTTAGGGCTTTGGAAATTTTGGGTGATTCAACCTCAATTTGGGGTCGAATCTTAAAACAAATTATATATTTGAACTCGTGGGGTTATGGGTGACTAGGTTTTGGTCCGAGCCTCGTGTTTGGACCATGTGGGCCCGGTGTCTAAATGTGGTATTTTTGGAAGAATGTTAGGAAATTCATATCTAGGCTATGGGATGTTGCCATTGAGTCTTTATTGATATTATTGAATTAATTATGCCTAGATATCATTGTTTCGGAGTCGGATTGTAGAGGAAAGGCGGTATTTAAGGATTGATTGCTATTCTTTGGACCGAGGTAAGTGTTTGATCTAATTTTGGCTTGAGGGAATAGGATTAGAGTGTTATTAATTGCTAAATGCTAAATGATCGAGTACGGTGTATAGGCATGGTGACGAGTATCTGTACACCGGTGTCTAGCATGACCGTGGGTCCTTGTTTGCACGTATTTCTGATATTTTGAGACTCTTCTATGCGAGTTGATGAATTCTACATAATGTGAAGAGTTTGAGGATAGGTTATGAATTGTAAATTCTTTGGAGCGTTGGCTCGAACAATAAAAATACTATTGAGTAAGAAATGAAAGAAATGGAAAGAGATATGATCAATCCCTTGCCAGGATGGTGTTAGTATATTGATTATCTCCCTTGGCGGGATGTGAAAGTTGTTGTTGTTACTCCCTTGCCGGGATTTAGTTGTTTAATTGTGTTTTCCCTTGCCGGGACATTTCTTATTATTTGCTTATTCCCTCGCCCATTTGGTTGTGATTGTTGTTTGGGTGAGGAAGAGTGATAATGAACGAAGGGTCATTCCGTGCTATGTTTGATTATATTTGCACGAAGGGTCATACCGTGCTATGTTTTGATTATATTTGCACGAAGGGTCATTCCGTGCCATGTTTTGATTATTTATGCACGAAGGGACATTCTGTGCTCTGATTTTGACTATAATTGCACGAAGGATCATTCTGTGCCATGAAATGAGAGTTATGTGAGGAAAAGCACGAAGGGTGATGCCGTGCATTCTATTTGATTGTTTTTGGTGAGACTGAGAGTAAAAGCACGAAGGTTGATGACGTGCAACTGTTGATTCTCCTGTTTTTGTTAATTGTTGTTATTGCCCTGTTTCTTACTTAAGTTGATGACTTTATATCCGGTTTGTACTCCCCCATAGCATGCTTCCCTCCCTAGTTAACTGTTTAATTTCGGTATTCTTTCCTTTATTGCATATATATATATATTGAACAGCACAGGTTGACTTGGTAGTCCTGTCTAGCCTCGTCACTACTTCGCCGGGGTTAGGCCAGGCACTTACCAGCACATGGGGTCGGTTGTGCTGATGCTACACTTCTGTGCTTTTTGCACAGATTACGGTACCGGAGCAGCTCTTGGACCACAGCAGTAGTTGATCGGGAGCCCTCTTCAGTCCAGGGACTTACGAGGTAGCCTAGCTGGCGTTCGCAGGCCGAAGTCCCTTTCCATATTTTCTGTTTGTTTTCATTGTACCGAGACAGACATTATGTATTTTTCTATTCAGACTTGTTTGTAGCACTCTTTAGTAGTTCGTGAGATAGCGACTCCAGTCTTGGGTAGTGAAATATTAGACTTCCGCATTTTGGGTTTTCAGTTATTTATGTTTTAAAAGACTTCCGCATTTTTTTAAGGACTCGTATGTTATTATTGTCATGTTGTTATCCGAAAATGTTTAAATGTTTGGCTTGCCTAGCTCCAACAGTAGGCGCCATCACGACTCCCGATGATGGAAAATCCGGGTCGTGACAAGTTGGTATCAGAGCTCTAGGTTACATAGGTCTCGCTACTCACGGACAAACTTGGTAGAGTCTGAGGGATCGGTACAGAGACGTCTGTATTTATCCCCAGAGGCTACGGAGTTAGGAAAAAATTTCACTTTTGTTCGTTCTTGTCGTGCGATTTTGCTTCTCAAATACTGAGTGTCCTTCTACTCTGTTCTTTCACAGATGGCGAGAACACGTGCTTCCTCTTCTACCGCGCAGCAGCCTGAGTCCCCAGCAGCAGCTCCTGCAAGGGGCAGAGGCCGAGGCCGTGCCAGAGGCCGAGGCCGGGGCAGAGCTCAGCCCCGAGCAGCAGTCCCAGAGGTGGAGCCTCATGTTGATTATGATGAGGAGGTTCCAGCCCCAGCAGCTCCGGTGGGCCCAACTCAGGTCCCAGAGGGGTTCATAGCCACCCCAGTTCTTCAGGACGCTCTGGTCAGATTGGTAGGCTTTGTGGAGAGCGTCACTAGAGCGGGTTTGCTTCCAGTAGCACCAGCCACTTCTCAGGCTGGAGGAGGGGTTCAGACTCCTGCTACACGTACTCCGGACAGGTAGCTCCCCAGACTTAGGTTCCAGTGGCTCAGCCAGCTGTGGCGGTTCAGCCGGGTATTGTGACTCAGACCGGCGATGGAGCGGCTATGTCTTCGGATGCTTTGTGGAGACTTGATAGGTTCTCCAAGCTCTTCAGCACCACATTCAGCGGTGCTTCATCAGAGGATCCCCAGGATTTCTTATTCAGCTGCCATGAGATCCTTAGGACCATGGGTATTGTGGAGACCAATGGGGTCGACTTCGCCACCCTTCGGCTTGCAGGATCCGCCAAGACTTGGTGGAGGGACTATTGCCTATCTAGACCAGCAGGGTCTCCGGCATTGACATGGGATCAGTTCGCGGAGTTGTTTTTGGAGAAGTTTCTCCCAGTTACTCAGCGGGAGGCACTACGCAGGCAGTTCGAGCGCCTCCAGCAGGGCTCCATGACAGTCACCCAGTATGAGACTCGGTTCATTGATTTGGCACGCCATGCTATTGTTATACTCCCCACAGAGCGAGAGAGGGTGCGGAGATTTATTGATGGATTGATTCAGTCGATCCGTCTCCAGATGGCTATGGGAGCTGGTAGTGAGATTTCTTTTCAGGAGGCGGCCAATGCGGCCCGTAGAGTGGAGATGGCTCTTGCACGAGGAGGTGGTCAGGTGTAGGATAAGAGGCCTCGTCATTCTGGTAGGTTCAGTGGT